CTGCATCTTGCACGCGCTGTTTTAGGACCGAAGCATTTGCTCCCCTTGGGTGCTCCATAAGCCCAGTGGGAACCGCCATGCCCTTCTGCGACCACCTTTCTATTCCGTTGTGGTTATTAATGACCAAATCAGGCTTTTCTGGATTGGCCCACAAGGGAGCCAGGGTGACATTGTGCTGTCTGAAGGAGGGTGACGATGCAGCAGTGGCCTCGGCCAGCCCCCGGCACGGTCCTGTCTGCCCGAGCGCTGCCGGCTTTGAAAACTTTAGTTCTGAAAGAGCCACTCTCCTTGACCTATTTATTTTTGCCCACGTTCGTGGCCTGCGTTGTGTCCCAATGAAGAGATCGTGCTGCTTGAAGGCCCTTTATTTTTAGCCAGCCCAATTTTCTTGTTGCAGCTTAGTGGGAGCTGGTCCTTTCAGTTCAGCTCCATCACAGCTCACGCTCTCCTGCATTTGCCGGCTCTTACCCAGGTCCCTGATGTTCTTTGTGCATCGATTGCTCACTCAGTGGGTTTCCTAACCCTTTCCACCAGGCTTCGTTGCTCCTCCTTTATGTCCTGCTTAGCCTCTCCCACTGCTCCAGGTCCATGGCTTAACTTCTGATTTCCCTCTGCCCTTGGCGTGCAGGGGGGACCAGGCTTTCACAACCGCAGAGGCAGGTCGCCAGGCTTGTCCTGGATCCCAGCACCCCTCCACAAACAAAACCTGCCCTCCCGTCTGCTCCAATAACCTTGGCTGTGCTTCCCCTCCTCACAAATGTCAGGAAATTGGAAATGATGCTCTAGCCACATAAAAATCAATAGCTGCCTCCTTGGCCTGGCTTGGCCCTGCTCTTTCTACCTTTACCCAGGGCAGGAGGGAGCGTGGTTTTCTGCTGAACTCGGAGCAGTGATTTATTGATACGATCCATCCTGTCCAGGCAGTTGACCAGCAAAATATTTATTTTTCCCAGCCCATCCACCTAGCCCACAGCAGTGGCTTGTGCTCGGTGTTAGGTCACGGAGGGGTGGGCTCAGAAATTTGGGCCAGGATAATATTTTCTTTCTGTGACCATGGAGCAATAGGTAAGGACTTCAACTCACTCCTAGATCCGGGTGAATTGTGCTAGGAACAACGCCAATATTAATTTCATTTTCCGAAGGGGTCAGTCCCAGCAAGGCCCACGTGCAGTTTCCATCAGAAGCTATGCTTCCAAGACAAAAAGAAATTCATTATGAGGACTGCAGATTACATTGCAGACTGCCTTTATTATTCCCTGGACTACTACCAGAAGGCACAGTGTGATCGAAGGAGCAGGAACAGTTCTAAGGTCCTATTTCTTGGAAATCTTTGGGGCTATATTAATTTAATTTAAAATGCAGCTCCTGTTGGAAACCAAACAGCATCACCTTTTCAGCTGTAGGGAGCATAACACAATTGGTAAAGGTTACTGGGGACTAAATCCTTGCTGAAAATCAAGGCAGCTCCCATTTGTGTCCTTGAAAAATCTTTCTTTTGGGAGCCCTGCTAATTCTCCGGGCACTGGACATGGGGGAGGGTTTGTTCCAAGCAACTGCACTGCACCATCCCTGCCTCCTGTCCCCCACCGCATCGGGCTCGATTTTATGTGCCAGCAAGACGGCAATAGGGATCACTCTCTAATGCAACCATGATTACATGGAAATTGAAGTGTGAGAGGGAAAAGAAATGAGGCAATTGAGAGGCGTGATTCTGATGCCCGACCCCTCTGCCTGCTGCTAGCATCACCCCAATGACCAATATAAATGATGCCAAATGGGTGTATTTTCCAGTGCCTGGTGTTGAGGAACAACAAATCACAGGAAATACTTAGCTGTTTCCCCCTGAATGACTTTTTATCTGGACTTTCACATACTCCCTACTTTGAATTTTAGCTCCTTATTAACAAAAAATGTGCAGGAAGGATGTTTGTTGATGATACGTGAGCCAAGAATAGATTCCAACTCCTTTTACCATTTTGGCACCAAAATGGCAAGAGGGATGAGACACCCTGTAGTAAACACTGTTCATTTTGAGGCGGCAACTAGAAAATATGGCTCTGAGTTAGGGAGAAGAACGGATGAGCTAGAGGGTCTGTGCTTGGCCTGGTCGTATTGCTGGATCAAATGTGATCTATAAAGAGCTGGGAAATGGCATATTCCCATCCAGTGAGGGGGTAAAGTGGTGTTCTAACATCTACAGCTTTCTGCTTATTGCTTACTGCCCTTGACAGTAAGGTTGTCCTCAGGCTATCAAGGTGTGGGGCTACCTTTGCAGGACATGCTTCTCTGCCCATACCTACCAGTTCTTCTTTAGCTGCTGCCTCCTAATTCCTCAGAGAAAAAAAAAAACAATCTGGGCATCTCCTCTGCACATCTTGCTCCTCATGCTCCTAGCAGGGAGGTGTCCCTCCTGGGAACACGTCCTGCTTTTCTTGAGCTGAGGGAAATGTTAAATAAGAACATTAAAAATGAGGCTCGTTAGAAAGCCAAAGGTGGAAAGCTTGCAGTAGCAGGAGCTGGAGCATTTGCTTGGACTGTCTGTAAGTGACAGCACTCCCCTTCCCGTAGGTCTGTACCTTCTGGGAAACGGCTCAGTGTGAACGTAGGAAGAGCCAAATCCTTAATTTCATATGGGAGAGAATTGTCAGAACTGTTACAGCGCTTGAGGGTGCAAGTACATCTGCTTCCTACCAAGATGTACTTGTCTGCTTTGGACTCAGGGTAGGATGCAATAATAAAAGTCTATCTCTCCCTTTCTCTCTTTCACTCAAGAATTTGCAACTCTTCCAGCAGCATTCCCTGCTTTTCTTTCTTATTGCTGCCCAGAGCAGTGAGCTAGAGGTGCAGACAGGCCTTGGGTATTCATCTGTTTGGTAAATGCAGTTATTTGGACTCCACTGTAACTACAAGAAGTTTCCTTCACGTAAGTCTTGTATGAAACTTGCTGCAAGATCAGCACAGGATCGGGCTGTCGGGGAGCTTGGTGCTGTGCATTTGTGCTATAGATGTGCCGGGGATGGGTACTGCAAGAGCACAGAGCTGCCCAAGAGCGCTCGGCTCGCAGGCGGGTCAGCAGCACAAAATAACTATCACCATCATCTGCTTGTATTAATCATGAGGGAGCTATGGCAGAACATTATCTTTGGAGGCTTTCGAGTGTAAAAATGCAAGCTGTGAGGACTTTTAGCATCTCTGAAAGTCACCGTAAGCAAGTAAGTATTAATATATTTACATCAGAGGTGCAAGAAATAAAGCCCTCCTCCAGTCTGCTTGCCCGCCCGGCCATGTCAGAACAGCAAGCCTCATCTCCCAGCCCAGGCAGGAGCCACATCTCCTGATTTAATCACTAAATCCCGCCACCTTTGCTGCAGTGATAACAGCAACGAGACCTCTCTTCCGAAGAGCCCCTTCACCAACGTGGGCCGCGATAGCGGACACCGGCTGTCAGCACAGGCATGATGGAGCTATTCCTGCGTAGGTTCAAAAGCTGACACCCGGGGAGACGTACGACATACGTGCCCTGGCTCTGCTGTTTATCCATCGTTATTTTGGGAATAGGTGTTTCAAATGAAACGTGTGTTTAGGAAGACTCTGCCCTCCTTCCCAGGCAGTGGGACGCAGCGGGGGAACGCCATGCTCTGCCCCCAGCCCTCTCCCATTTGTTCTGCCTTGAAACTTCACGCAGCGTGAACAAGGCTCGTGCAATTTTAAAGGGAGCCCGAGGAAGATGTGTCCCACTGCTACCATGTTAAATTTGGTAGCTTTTGTTGTCTAGCTGGATTTATGGGGGTTTTTCCCCTTATTGTCTGCAGTGCTGAACAACAGCAAAATGTGCCTTGAAAAATATACATGAGGCGGCACTTATCTGTGATTCATACTGCCTTTATAAACACAGGCAATAGCACTATCTGCCTCGTTCCCGCTCCCCAGAAGACCGTCTCTCCCGCGTGTATCTTTTCCTTTGTGCTCTTGTGCCTCTAATCTTTCAGTTCTGTGGCTTCCTCCCCCCACCCCATATTAATTGCACTTTTTTCTCTGCTGTGCCAAGAACTTTGATTTCTGGTGACATTTTATCAGTCTGCAGGATACCGTGAGAAATGCTAAATTCCACAAATTAGCAAAAATAAAAGAAAAAGAAAATATTCCATCCATAAGCGACACAGAGGATGAGGGAAGGTTTTTTCGCCTCCTTCTGTGATATTTTCCCAGGGCCTGACTGCAGCTCTCTGGTCCCATTTCCCTGCCTCCCCCTGAAGCACAAGCCCAGTTTGGACCAGTTCAGCCTCTGCGTTCAGCTGACACCGGTGCTTGCAGCTCCAATCCAGCAAGCACACTAAAAAGCAAAAAAGGCAGGCTATTGCCTCACGGTGCTCTGCTTCGAGGCATTTGACGATGTCATTCAGCGGGCACAAATGTAGCATTGTTTTTGAAAATGGGGATCTTGATACTTTAATGGGTAAAGAGGAAAAATGGCAATATTTGGGGAGGCAGGGTGGTGACCAGAGCTGCTCAGGAGCGTGTTTTGGTCTGGCAGCTAGAAGTATTTTTGCTGATCCATTAATGAGGTGTCCATGAGCCTCAACAGGTTCCTGTGCCAAGGAGATCCGGCTGGCACTGCTGCCCTTAGATAAGGCTCTGAGGATGGCAGCTGCTGTGGTTCGGCTTCATCCTTGGGGAGATGAGCACCGGGTTCGGCTGGAGGCGATGAGCGGCTCCCACCCATCCCACGCTGCTCCCGCCCTGGCACCCGGCGTTCAGCACATCCATGAGCCCTGGGTCGGCGTGGGGCAGCAGTCGGGTGGGATTTGGTTCAAGCTCTCCATCTGTCAGGGCACACTGTGATTGTTTTAATGGCTTATTTCAGCTTGACCTAAATAAGCAATTAAGAGCAGAGGGTAAAGCTTTGACACATCCATTCCCCCAAAAAGCGGTAGATGACTCTGTGCTGATGGCCATGTCCCCTCTCCCGGCAGCCGTCCCCACCGCCGCCTCGGCCCCCCATGCTTTTGGCAATGAGCGCCTGTGGCAGGAAGGCGCTGACCCTGCTCAGCAGCGTGTTCGCCGTCTGCGGCCTCGGCCTCCTGGGCATCTCCGTCAGCACCGACTACTGGCTCTACCTGGAGGAGGGCATCGTCCAGCCCCAAAACCAGACAGCCGAAATCAAACTGTCGCTGCACTCAGGGCTCTGGAGGGTCTGCTTTCTGGCAGGTATGGCCTCCCTCCCAAAAATGTTCCCTGTAAGGTGATGTTTGCTGCGTGTCAGCGTCATACCATGGGAAAGGGCTGGGGAATATAGGATTTTTAAAGGCTGTGTCCATCTTTGCTTCCAAACTTAGGCACAATCTGAGTAATGCCATCACCTCATGCCCAGCTTTAATAGTCAGGTGGATAAATGTGCCTTTGCACGCTGGCTTTGGGTGAGTTTGCTGCTGCCGTGCCAGACTCCGCTGCCCCCCGTCCCGCTCTGATCCAATGCCGCGGCCACAGTGCCTTGGGCAGCAGCTCAAAACTTTCCATTTTGTCCCTGCAACATTTAGATTCAGGTCAGCTGGACTGTTCTCTCCATCCACGCCAAGTTTGATGAGGCGGCTTGGCTGCAGAGACGGAGTTGAATAAAACCCAAGGGAACAGGAATCTCAAAGTGACCGATCTGAAATGTCACGAAGTTTAAACTGCTGCTTTGAAAAAGTCAGGGGGGTGAGGAGCTCTCAGACCACCCCTGGGGTGACCTTAAACCCTCTGGCTTCAGGGTTCACGTTTTTGTATACAAGGGAATCCTTTTGCACAAGAGAGATGGCAGTTAAGAGTCTTTCTTCAGCCCCAAACCCTGACACCCAAGATGGAAGCAGCACTAAAAAGCAAGATTGTTTTTTACGCATGCACTGAAATTCATTTTAAAGCCACTCTCTCCCCCACCAGAAATAAACAGACAAACACGCTGTAGGTATGACTCGGTCTGTGTCTGCTGCAGGTGAAGAGCGGGGCCGGTGCTTCACTATCGAATACGTCATGCCCATGAACATCCAGCTGACGTCTGAATCCACAGTCAACGTCCTGAGTAAGTGGTTCGGTGGGGCCTTACTCTTTGCGTCCTGCAAAACACCAAAGAGTCACTAGGGATCCCCCCAAGAAATCTTTTTTGTCCTTGCTGAAGAAGCTCCTAGCTCCTTGACAGTGCTACCATGCAAGGATGCAACTACATTTTTTACTACGTGAATTACCCAATATGCTCCTATGCTTTTGGGGACATCCCTTTCTAATGGTAGGATGCTCACAGAGGATCTAAGCTGTACAATTTTCTGTCACTGGCTATTCAGCACTGATGTTTATGGAAGTATTTGGCTTTATAGTCTCCTCTCTGTAATTTGCAGCTGTATTTATTATAGCAGTCAATTTTATGCATTACATAGTGGGATGAATTAAGGATGGAGTGTCACAGCTCTCACGATGAATTCTGCAGTCATTTCTGATTTAATAAATAGAAGTGTTCAGCAAACAGTTTCACAGCAAAGCTAGAGAAAAATGCAAATTCCAATGGTTTTCCCCTATGTAACACTTCACGTAGAAACCTTCAGAAATGCAAACATTAGCAGGCGCTTCCACAGCCAGACAGAGTCACGTCTTTACTCAGCTCACTGGCAAAGAGGGGAGCCCCTGCCAGGGCCCGGGGAGCCATGCAGGGGCAGCCACGTTGACCAGGAGCGAGGAAGGACACAACGTGGCCAGAGAGCAGCAGGGCTGAAGCTGTCCCGCCCGGCCGAGCCCATTTCTCGCGCTGTGTGGGAGGATTGACCTGTTCTCACTTTCCTCTGCTCCTCTCCTGCCAGAGATGATCCGCTCTGCCACCCCCTTCCCTCTGGTCAGCCTCTTCTTCATGTTCATCGGCTTCATCCTGAGCAACATCGGCCATATTCGGCCTCACAGGACCATCCTTGCCTTCGTCTCGGGGATATTCTTCATCCTGTCAGGTGAGTTTTGCTAGCCAGGTTTTCTCCTGAAAATCCTTGAGCATGGAGCACATTTGCTTTTGTAGCTGCTGGTGCTCTCCTGACCTGCTGTGGTGGCTCCTCCTTGGAGTCATCACCCGGGGGGGCTCCCGGCTCGGCTCTGCAGCCTGCTCGGGCTTTGCAGGATGGAAAATCACCCGGTGTAAAACTCGTTTGTGGCAGTGGCGAGGAGATGTGGGGAAAAATACCCACGACCCGTGCAGGAGCAGGTGCTGGGGGAGAGGACGCCTCTCATGGCTCGTCGGTTGCAGGAGAGATCTGAAACTTCAAACTGCTCAGCCGGGATGGTTCTACATGAGACAAGTGAATGTTTTATTCATGGTGTTGTGCTAGTGTTAAACAAATAGCTGTGACAGCCAAGCTTTGAAGCCAGCTCCTACCGGGTACACACAGACTTGCTTGAGCAGGTAACGGTTTGAGTGAAATGAGAGGGCTGCCCGAGGTTAGCTCAGCCGGAAAGCAGCCTCTTTCCCCCGTTATTTCAAGCACTTTTTTTACACTTTCACCCACAAGTCAGGTCTTAAAGGAAGGTGCTTCTTCGGTGGCTTCATCCCTCAAGTGTTTCCCACTGTCCTTCTCCTTGGTTTCCCCCCAGGTCTGTCCCTGGTGGTGGGGCTGGTCCTCTACATATCCAGCATTAACGACGAGATGCTGAACAGGACCAAGGACTCAGAAACATTCTTCAATTACAAATACGGATGGTCTTTTGCCTTCTCCGCCATCTCATTCCAAAATGCTCACGGAGGTACCCAGGATCTGTCACATCCCTGTAACGAGTGTATCCCGTTCTCAGGTTGGGGGGGACATTGAGGCTGTGAGAAAAAGAGGACTCAGAAGGGGTTTGAGGGTAGACTATGAGAGCAGATATATAGTACAGTGGGAGACATATACAGTGGGGACAGACCCCAAGCCTGGAGCGCTGATGGGGCATTTGAACAGGATTTGATGCCAAGCAGAGGAGATGTGGTTGTGCCATGTTATTTTCTGCAGGAACCCAGGGAACAGGGCAGTGAAGTGACTGTCCTTGGGAGCCCTTGTGCATCGTCAGCAGAGCTTTCTTTGCTATTTATATTTTTGTTCTGTTTTGGTGGTGGTGGAGAAGGCAGCCGTTAGCAGGGTGAGCGTTAGGCCGTGTCTCTCTCCCCTGCAGAGCGCCGGGGTGATGTCCGTTTACCTGTTCATGAAGCGATACACGGCCGAGGACATCTACCGACCTCACCCCGGCTTCTACCGTCCCCGTCTGAGCAACTGCTCCGACTACTCGGGGCAGTTCTTGCACCCGGATGCATGGGCGCGGGGCCGCAGCCCTTCGGATATCTCCAGCGAGGCATCCCTGCAGATGAACAGTAACTACCCGGCTCTGCTCAAGTGCCCCGACTACGACCAGATGTCCTCGTCCCCATGCTGAGCCCCGCCACCCCTGCGCCCGCTCCCACCCAAGCGCCGACGGTCGCCACGTCCTGACTCCGTTAGTTTTTTTTTTTTTTAGGCCACTCTTTCAGGGCAATTCTCTATTTATAGGAGCGTAAATATAACCAGAGAGATTGGTTATATAACCAGTAGTGTAACATAGAGAATTGGGATATTTTCCTTTCTTTGTTTTTTTTTTTTATTCTTCCCTGCATAACTAAAAATCTCTCCAAAGTCCTCTTCTTTCAGCTCGTCCTGCTGAGCAAACAGCAGTTCTGCCTGGGGGATAAATCCAGGGCTGGACTTGAGAGCAGAAAAAAAAAAAAATAGAGTAGAACTAAGAAAAAAAAAAGTGTATTTTTTGGTTTAGGTAGGCTGCAAAAGTTTGTGCACTTGACTGTATCATTTAATTATAGATTTACTCGCCTAAGTGCCAGCAGGCATAAAAGATTTGTGTGAATTTCCAAGAAATAGCCATCATCAGAAAAATATAAATTTTGTCTTGATTCAGTATTTACTGATTGATATCTGTTGTTGCTGGATATCACTTTTAACCAGGCTGTAATGGGAAATAGCCATCTTTCTTGACTATACCTCAGTAGGCTTAGACACAAGCAGGTTGTTGTTTCTCTATGGCCGCTTGCAAACTGTTGCTTAAATATCGCGCATTAGACCGGAGGCACTACAGCCCAGGGGTGGCTCAGCACCCAGATTTCCTCTGCCATCCCATAGACTGGGGGCCTGAAGAGACTGGGAGAATTTCAGTGCAGCATTGAGTGGAAAACTACCAAAACCTTTCCCACAGGAAACATTAGGCACAGGATTTAGGGGAAATTATGGCCAGAAGTGCAAGTTATTTTGGTAAACGGTGAGATCCCAAATGGGTGTAAAGTGATGTAGCTGAAATTAATGGCACTAGTGCACCATAGCAAAGTAGTTGGCTTATATTTAATTTTTGCAGAATATGGTATTTTAGCTGCTTTTGTGTGTGTGTGTGCATGAACCTTATTTTGAGGTTTTAAGTTTTAAAATTTCATATGATGCTTTGGCATTTTGGTATTAGAAGACTCGACAGCTGCCAGGGTGAGAGCATCACACTGATTGAGAACGAAGGGCAGGGAAGGAAAAGGCTGTGCTCCCTCTTGCGCTCCTGTGCAAGCTGTGAGCTTGTCGCCTCGCAGGAGAAAGAGCTTTGTCCAAACTTTATTTCTGTTCTTGTTATTTTAAACCTTTCTGAAAATGTCCTTTCTGCAAAACAAAACCCTCCAGGGATTCTTGGTATATTTGAACTTGTTTTGTCTTACTGTAATTAAAACAAACAGAATATATGCACCTTTAACTTCATTTGTAGCATACCGTGAAATGAATGTTGCACCTTTTTGTTATTTATTATTTAATATTTTTTGTTTTTATTTATTATTTATTATTTATTATTTATTTATTATTTATTATTTATTATTTAAACTGCCCCAAAGTAGGGTCCAAGTCCTGGCGCAGCACCACTATTTGCATCGACTCTGACACCCGTCCCATAGGACCTCACTGCAGGCGTATTTCCAGCCAACTCCTGAACAGGATTATTTCCTCTCCAGTTCCTTCAGATAAGCAAGTAGCGTATATCTAGTGTATATCTAGTGTCGCTGGCTCCTAATTTGCTGAGTTTTAAAACTAGGGCATCTTTTTGTAGACACAGTTGTATTTACCCTTAGTTTTTATATTACCCTCAAGCATCTGTTTTCGCATTTTAAAACCCGGTTTGTAAGTGCTACATGACAGGTTGGCTGCTGGGAAGTTTCAAGCATTAAAGTACAACCCAGCCCCACCATCCAGCGACAAAGCTTGCTGATCCTCATCTGTTCGCCCCACCCAGATAAACCATCAGTTCTCTGCTGTGATCTCTATGTTGGGTGTGAATCAGGTTCCAAGAAAGCGCTGAGATTCACAAGTGATGATCTTGCATTTCCCAGAGCCCAATCATCTAGTTTGCTGGGCTTGATGTTAGTGGTTTCTGGTGGCTCAAAGACAGCTGCCTTTGTATCTCCTCCTTGATGGATCCTTTATATTCTCAGTCCTTCTTGGAAGGGAAACCTTCAGGATCACCAAAACCACTGATGCTCAGAGGCACAAGGGCTGTCCCACACGCTACGTTCCTCCACGCTGGGGAGTCGCTTAGTGTGGTTAATCCTGTGCAGCATCGTGAGACATCCCTGTCCTCGAGTGGAATTTTCCTTTGTACACATTAAATACAGAGTTATTCATTTTATAAATTAAAATGTCTGCCTACATAAGCAGAAGATGTGAAAAAAACTTCACACCTTCCTCAAGGCCCCAGAAGGTTTAGCAGAGTCTAGGGGTGAATTAGAAAAGTAATTATTTTAATTCATTGGAGAGATTGTCATCATGTGGCTGCATTTGTGAGCCTGGGCGTTTGCACATGCTCCCAGTGAGCACAAGCCCTTCGTAAGTGCAAGACTGCTGAAAGATATCTGTCAAAATAAGTGTTTGCTGTTGGTTCAGCAAATGCTGGTTTGGGGCAGGAGGATGTGGTGCTTGGTAAAGCACGGGCAACAGTGGTTGTGCCGCCAGGTGGCATTGCTGTCCCTCTAACAGTGCCTGGCATGGCAGCAGCTCTCGGCGTGGAAGGCCATGGGCCTCTAAATGCAAGTATCACACCTTCGTTGACTGTGGAGAAACTTCTCCAGAGCCTCTGAGGCACAGAGACATGAGTGTGGCATGGGCGAGGTGGTGGGGTGAGCTGCAGAGCCCAGACACCCTCCGAGGTCCTTCTCCCCCGTGGCTGATGTGCTCCACAGCAATAAGTGCTCAATAAATAACTGTAGTACCCCCTTAGGACACCTACTCATTTAAACACCTCTCCTAGTCCTCTGGCATGGTTTCACCCGACCTTAATCTATGTTGTGCCACATCCTTCGCTCCCCAAATAATGCCTCATGGTTGCCGCCTTTGGTCTCTCTCCCACCCCTGCTTCAGTGCCAGCCTCGCACTGTGTCTTTTCTGTGTCTGTCGCTTGGATTGCAGTAAATGAAAAGTGGAGTTTCAGGATAAACTAAATTTTAGTTTAAACTAAACTAAAACTAAAACAATTAAATTAGAAGTTTAACCCCTACAAGACTGAAATCCTTAAAGTAACCACCTCCGTGATGGGACGAGTCAAGCCGCTCACGGGCCCGTAGGAAGGTAATTGCTCATCTGACACTTCTCAGAAAATTGTTTGCACTTAGAAGCAAAAAAATCTCTTGTTTTGCATGAATGACTAATTGGTGTCAGACCCTTTGTGTCTGCTTGAACTATAGCATTAGAGCAAATTACTGAGAGTAAGGGTTAAATAAAAACCCAGCGCTGCCTGATCCACGCACATTTTGCTGCTCCCTGGTCCTGCTCAGGACTGCAGCGGGCTGAAGCTTTTTCCTTCCCTGCCATCAGCCTCCCACACAGCACACGTCCATCCCGCAGCCTGGGTTCCATATGGAGTTTGTGGCACCGGGAGGGATGGATGGTAACTGGAGAAACTGCCTGGGGGAGGCTGGTCGGGAAGACGGGCGCTCTGAGACCTTCTCGGGGAATTCCTGGGAGCCACCCTCCCCCTGTGTGTTTGGGGTTTTTTTAATTCAATGCCCCTTCTGTAAGCCCAGGGAGTCATTTTTTGGCCTGTATCTCCCGGGACATGAAAGCTGCTCTCTGCCAGCCTCTGCCCTCCCACCCCCAGGACATGCTCTCCTCATTGCACCCTCCCATCACATCATTCCCGTGTCCCCAGGTGTGATGGGGCCTCGGTGGGAAGGGGCTCCTTTTGCCCATTAGTTAGGAGTGTCCTGAAAGCCCTTATTGAATCATGAGGTATGGATGCAAGAGGTTCATTAGAGACCAGTAGTGAGCAGTAATTAAGTAGCCAGGAATAACGAGGCTGTGCTGGGCCACTTTCTCCCTCAGTTGTTGCTGGAGCAGCTCATGGCTCCAGACCTCTTTCTTGCACAGTGGAAAAAAATATCTCTCTATATATAAATTTACATATAGGTACAGCTGAAATGCCCTCCAGGGCTGCTCCCCTTGCACCTCTCTTGCTAGTGGACACGAGGAGCCACCAGGAAGGTTAAGGTGAGGCAAGACCCTGCTCTGGGCAGTGACCCCCTCCCAGCAGGGATGCAGACCAAGAGCACTGCTGAGCTGTCGGTAAAGCTGCTGCTGTGGTGAGGTGAGGTCTGGGCAGGTATTTTGGGGCAACCTGGTCCTGCTCTTGCCCAGGAGGATGGCATGGAGCTGCTGCTTGGGTGGGTGGGGGGAGAGCAAATCCCTACAGCTGGGGAAGCTCCAGATGAACCTTGCTATTGCCTTCTCTGGACACAGGACTGAAGACCTGTGCCCTTTCACATCAGCTTCAAGCAGACAAAACCCAAAGGTATTTTTATTAGGGTGGATTTCAGCTACATATCACTGTGGCAGGATAAAGAGCTGACTCAGGCATGACGAAGGCAGTTTGGGGGTTTCTAGTACACAGCGCTCTGCTCGCAAGTCCTCGTGTTGCATTATTAATACTATTTGTCAGGGTTGTGTACTCATTTTCCCAAATGTGAGTTAGCCCCCATGGGCTATTCAAGGTGTGCTAAGAAATTAAATAGTCTTATTCCTCCCCACTGATAGCTTGTTAGCTGTGCAGAACTGGCATGTCCACGGTGGGGATGCTGTGTGAACAGGCAAAGTATTCACCCAAGTAAATATTCCTCCACTAATGAGAAGCAGCTGAGAGATATTTATTTTCTTCTTCTTCTTCTTCCTTCCTTATGAGATTTTGTATTTCTTTCCAGTTTTTTTTCCCACCACAAAAGATGACTGACATTCAAACCTAACTAGAAAAAACAGCATTTTCCCTCCTCGCTTTTCTCATCCAGTTTTAGGGCCTCCTGGTGGGGCCTTCTTCACCTCACTGCAGCAGCCCTTGCTGCACGGGTCAGGTTGCTCTGCCATCTCTCCCTCCCCAAGAACCACATCAGCTTTTTAACTT